CTGGTGGCACAAAAGTACTTTCCAAGCTAAACCTAAAATATATAAACTCAAACTTGGAATATTTAATCATGAATTGAGAAATGCAAGCTGGAGCTTAATCTCAAATATAATTTACTAATCTACCAACAACTGTTGTGCTCGGTTTTGTAAAAATTGATGGGTCACTTTTCTATGGATTATATGAATACTGTCTGATTATTTATTCTGTTTTTTTTTGTTCTATTTATTTGCTTGAAATAAATAGCTTTAAAACGAAATCACTTATCTCTAGATTCTTTCAACAGGCACTGAAAACTACATGTCATGATCCTTAAGACTCTGGTTTGGTTTCCTTTGAATTCCTGTTTTCCAGTATTTCATTGTTTAGCATATTATTTGAATTGTTTTTGTTTTCTGTTATGCTATATCCGTTCACTCCATTGTTTGTTTTTAGCTTCGAATTTAAGGTCTTGTCATATTCAGGTTTTTTTAGTATTGAGACTTTTGCATATTACCTCGGTTTATGTTGTCAATGCCAGTTTTTTTCTCGTTAATTTCTCTTGCCTATTTCATTTTTAAATGTTAAGTCCTAACTTTTTGTTTTAGGGACAGAACAAACAATATGTCTTTTGATGATGTTGATCATTTCATGTGTTCACTTATGAGTAAAGACAACGCTAACAGGATGGGCTGCATGCTACGCAATGCTACAGGAATATGTGTTGAGCTGTTGAAGCTTGGACAAGCTTTATTTCACTTAGAGTTTAAACACTGATATACCAATAGTGTTCATGTGTTTTTCGGATGCTCATTACATTTCCATTACCAAGAATGACCAAAACTCATTTAGTGGAATCCTGATGTCTATTCACTGCTAGCTATTTCAAAGAGGGAAAAGAATCATTTGACTAAAGGTTATTGGTTCTTGATTAAGCAAATCATTCAATAAAACATTATTTGGCCAAATAATGTTTTATTCACCTCACGGATTTGCATTGTGAATTGGTCTGAAAACATTCTAATTTCTCTAAATTAGTGAAAAGCTTATTTGATCATATCCCAAATTCTTCCAGATAAACTTTTGTTCTCAAACTCAAAAATCCATCTTAAACTGTAATATGGTTTTCAACCATGTTCCCCTTCCTCTTTGTACATAGTAGTTTAGTTAAGGTTAGTTTCACTAGTTTTAGTTAAGAGTGTTAAACTAAAATATGTTTGACTTGGAGCTGAATGATTTTTCTTAATAATCTCTTATATTTGGAACAGAAGTTGTGGTGAATTTATTCCATGTATGCACAGAATTAACTGTTTGACCATGATTAGAGCTCGAATCACTCTTTCATTTATTGCTAGTAGGGCGTGTGTTCATAAACAATATACAACAGCCGAAATAATATCTGATTAAATAAGATATTTTCCACCCCTACCGGGAAGGGCAATAGATATCTTAAAGTATCAGAAATATAAATTTCCAGCTGGCTGGGAATTGAATAGAACATAAAATAACAACATTTAATTGGCGTCCCTGGTTGCTGGGCCCATAAAATGTAACAAATATAAATCTTGATAACTACATTAAATGTATTATTAGGACTGCATGATTTTAAATGTCTTTGCTAGAGTTAGACAACAGATATCAGGACCCTGATAAATTAGTTCATTCTTTTTTATTAGCTGACTGAAAATCTGTTAGACAAGTCCAACTTCTTCAACTTGTAGTAGCTGGAGTTCTTATAAAAAAGAAGAGACCAGTATATCATTCCATTTCTGAGGTTTTACACTGACTACATTTTCCTCAGAGAATAGAGTTTAAAATCTCATAAAATGTTTACAAGGCATTCACTCACTATGTCAAAAAAGCTCTAAATCATGTCACAGACTGCATCCAACTGACCAAATCAATGTGTTTTTTTGCATTATGTTTTTTCTCCTACAATGTTTACATTTGATCACTGCTGCACTTTAAGAAATGGAAATGTCTTGAGAGCTGTACAAATTGAAATTTCGTTTTGTATATACTCTATGTATACAAAAGGACAATAAAAGTTGTCTAAGTCTAAGTCACTGGTCAGCAGTGTTGTGCTAGTTACTGAAAAGCAGTAACTAGTTTCTGTTACTAGTTACTTCATTTCAAAAGTAACTTAGTTACTAACTCAGTTATTTACACCATA